CCCCCCACGCCCCCCCCCGGCCCCCCTCGGCCAGAGCCGTGCGAGCAGGTAGCGGGTTTATTCTCCAATATTCGTTACAAGGAGCCGCCGAGGGACCGGGGCAGGTGGGGAACCATCCCCGACATCAAACGGTGCAGTTTCCCTCGCCGTAGCGCCGGCACTTCATCACCTTCAGGTAGGTCTCCACCTTGTGCAGGTCCTTCTTGAAGCAGGAGAGCAAGCCGTAGTTCTTCAGCAGGGCGTCCTCGTTGCGCAGGTGGATGTCGAATTTGTCGTAGGTGGGTTTGAGGATCTGGGGACCCCGTGGGCTCCGGTCCTCCAGCTCCTGTGAGAGGATGGAGAGGTGCTGGGGGTCTGGGGACGAGCATCCTCCAAGGGGCCCATTGCCAAGGCTCCCGGCTAGCTTTAGAGGAGGTTGGCAGTCCCCCCCTTGATCACATTTCAAACGGACTTTTGAGTTGATGTGTTTACAGGAAGGGTAATTCTGCAGGGGTGATGCTGCACTAATTGCTACCAGTGAGAAGGGAACTGGGCACAAGGCTGCAGGGAGGGAGGAGTGTGTCTTCGGGGGTCTTAAAATAAGCAGAAAGTTGCAGGGTCTCTCTGTAGCTACTCTAGCCAAGGAGACGGGGAAACAGGCAAATAATTCTCTCTTTTCTCCCATTTTCCCAGTGGGCAAAGCTCTAACTCAGACCCAAGCCACATGCATCTGGAGCTGAGAGATCTGCAGCCTGCCACTCCTCCTGCCCTGCTTCACTGACCAGCTGGCACAGTAAACAGGACAGTAAACAGGGTCATAAATGGGTGAAGTGTGATTATTTGTCTAGTTTCTGAGTACTGCTTCCCAATGCCCAAGCATATATCAAATGGAGAGCAAAATCTGGAAGTGGTGCTGATACATACACCTACTTATTCCAGCTGAAGTGCCAGAACAGAAGATGTCCGTTTACTCTCGGGGCCTGACTTTCAGAGTTATTTAGATGCTAGATGTAAATAATTGTCCAGACTCATTTCTCACAGATATGGGTCTCGGAGCTCTGGCTACCTGGTGATGCTGGCAGATAAACTTGGTTATAGAGTAAGCGTAACTGAAAAGGTGTCCTGGCAGATAAGCAATTTCATTTAAAACAACAAAGCGAAAATTAAGAGTGACCCTTGAAGAAGATCACTCTCCAGCTCTCAGCTGTCTGGGTGCTGCAAGAGAGAAACATCAGAGCCTAGGCTTCCATCTGTACACAGACTTATACAGGTTGCTTTTATAAAACGTCAGGAGTCCTTAAAGCCAGGTTGCAAACCTTGCAAAATTTAGTCCACTTTAAAGTATTTTGCATGGAGATGTAGCAAACATTATACTCCTGTTTGTACAGCAGATTTAAGCAACTGAGTATTCTTTGGTGCTGGATTTGGAAAGAGTTTGGGTCTGTACTGCTATCTGAGTGGTTATGGCAGTGCTGTTAACATTTGTTATGTGTTTTCTTATACTGCCCAGTGATGAAACATGTACAATGGGGTGTCATGATCTCATTATCTTAAGGCAAGCAAAGTCCAAAGGATGCCACTGGTCTTCAGAGTGGAGGTGGGGAGATTTCTCATGGTCTTTGGATCTCATGGAAGACCCTGAGAGCTGAGTGCCCTGTATCTAGGGGTTCTCTTATTCTGTAGCCACACTACATGCTGCAACTTACCCTCATCAGAGCTTGGATCCCTTCTTCCAGGTCCTTTAGTTTTTCATACACTCTGTCTGAGGTGCCAAAAACCAGATTATTTGTGAACACCTTGCTTAGGTATTGCACTGGGGTCAGCCAGGACTGGATGAGAACCAGTGAAAACCGAAGGAGCTCCATGTCCTGAAATTAAGAAAAGAAAGGGTCAAAGCTGTACAGGTGAGGTATTTGGTAGAATTACCTGTGTGCCCTGTTCCCTCTGAAGCAGCCTGGAGGTGACCCAGAGATGTGCTACTGCTGCTGCAGCTTCAGCAGATACAAACAAGTTTGCAAGCTGAGGAGCACCACCCAGCCATTTGTCCTGTGCAGGCAATAGTTTTTTCTCATCCTTAGAATGGGAATATGATTCATAGTATAACCCAGAAGAATCTTTGTTCATGCAGGGCTTAAATAGTAAAAAAGGGAGAGGAGGAATGAAGCACTGAAGTGCTCACAGATGGAAGCTCTCTGTTCCTGTAATGAAGTACAGCTGGGCTCTTCAAACAGGTCTGTGCTTGCCCCAGGGGTGGGAACTTACCGATTTCTGCTGGGCATCATCCTTCCCCGTGGGAGCAGGGATGGTTTCAGAGTAACAAAATGCTGCCTGGGAATTTTTGTTGGCATGTCTTTGGTCCTCTGGAATATAGGTGCGTTCCTGTGGAGACATCCCAAATACACTCAGGTCTGTTGCCCATGTACTGGGAGAAGACCACAGACACTTTCCCAAGCTGTCCTGAATGGTTACTCTTTGCAAGAAATACACGTGAGACATGAGGTGTCTCTGTAAAGGGTTGGCAGGTAGGAAGCAGGAGTTCATACGTTGGCACAATAGCTACTGGACCTAAAGGTCTTCCTCTCGCTAAGCCAAGGTGCTAAGGTGAATGCAAAACACACTCGGACTGGGTTCTCCCAAGGAGTAGATGAGCCCCAAGGACAGCTCTTGCCAAAGTGACAGCTCATGCCAGCTCCTGGCAACAGCAGAGACTGGATAGTTTTAAGCATTCAGAATCAGCCAGGGCCAAAGGTGACCGACACAGGAAAGTCTTGCAAAATATCGTGCCATCTCCCACTGCTTTCAGAGCCAGCTTTCTCTTTGAGACAGCTGATCCTGTGCAGTAGGTTTGGATGTGGGCAGCAATGGCCCTGAGGAGGGGACTTTGCAGGATCAGATGTGGGGGCAGAGAGCTGAAAGGAGGAGGCAGGGTCCAGGCTCATGGGGCATAACCTGCCCTGTCCTATTAAGAGCCTTTCATCTCATCAAGAGCTGACAGAGGAGACACCAATAGTTGAAAAGTCTCTGTTTCTAGGAAGTTATACAGTCCTGAAACCATCAGGCTAATGTGGAGATGCCCAGAGGCCACGACACTTACGAACTCTTTGTATGTCTCCGCAGCCAGGAGGTGGAGGTGCTGAGCCCTCAGCACAGCATTGGCAAACAGGTTGGAAAGGGGCATGGCCGGGAAGGTGGCAGCTTCCTGTGGCCACTGCAGTCCCAGGGTGATCACAGCAATGAAGAGAGGAGAAAACCATGACCCTACAGCAAAGTGGAGAGGAAAGGTGTTAGCAGTCCTTTAGTGACTCCTGAGGACGGAGGTGGCACCTGGGAATTAATTAATTCCCAGCCTCTTCTGTCGATGCTGGCTAAGGGGTCACCTTCCTTAATGTCTTCTTAGACTCTGTGAGTGAGCTTAGCCCTCCCCCAAATCAAATGAAACCCTGTCCCCTTTCACTAGATGTGCCCTCGGGACTTGTACTGCTCCCAGTGTTATAAGCAGCGTCTTTGTAGCTGAAGAGTCATTGTTGCCCCATGAAAACTAGAGTGTGTCCCTATGTTTTTCCCTAACATGCTCATGTTTTTCTGTAGGCCTTGCCCTCATGAGAAGAGCACAGTGTACGCTTCATTGTGTGAGCAAGCAGGGGATGGTGAGTACCAGGCGAGGGCCTGGGATTACCTCACTTTAGCCTTGGTTTACACCATGCTGCTGATGTGAAACTGGCTGTCTGCCTTCACTAGGACAAGAGCTGATGGCATTACCTGTGCTGTGACCAGCTATTTTTGCTCTCTGGGGCATACCTGTAGAATCTGGTGATGTTTGTCAAGTGTAAAGGTTTTCAACGTTCAACATCTAACTCACACAATGCCCATCTGTGCTTACAGAGACCACAAAGTTAATCTCAGACAAATACCCTTCAGTGGAGGAATGCCTTGGAGCCTGTAGGACTTGGACATACACATTAGACATCATCCTGATACCCGTCGTAAGCTTTGAATATGAGTTTTAATATCCCTGCCAACATTTATGTTAATAATAACTATTATAACTGTGGCTTGACCTTGTTCTTCATGTTCTCCACCCTCTCCTTGCCCAGCTGAGGCTAAAGACTACCTAAGTTAATTCATGGATTAAAGTCACACTGTAAGGAGAGGTATTTCTTCTTCATTGATTTATAAGTTGACACGTTTTAATTTAGGGCTGGCACTGAGTGTGTATAGCCCACCACAGTACTGCCCCGTCATCATTTCCCATCACCCTAAGCATGCACAGCCCTGGCAATCCATTAAAACTGAAATAAAGAAAAGTACCTGGAGCCATTTCTGCCTGGTGAGTTGCTCAGGTGTTGCTTGACAATGAATGTTTCCTCCTTTCATCTAGGCTGGTAAAGGTAACTGTTGAGCCACCCCTTATATAGCAGGGTGTCTGTTTAAAATGTATATATGTGTTCATGATCACAACAACATCTCTGTATCTTCTCTGTGCATAAATGCACAAGTGTTCACAATGGTGCTACCTAATTGT